ACCACACTTGACGCTCACCTTATTGTACAAAGAGTTGTGACTGTAAGGGCTATAAGGATTCTCATGGACATCACACGTGATAGAAGACAAGTGGCTGAAAGGTCCAGGGTTTAGACAGTCAGCGAGGGAGATGGACGGAGGACGCAAAGGGGACTTAGTTGGAGGGATCAGTTTAGTTGGATACAGAGGGTGTAGGAGAGAAGTCTCCTATGAAAAAAAGAAAAGTAAACAGAAGCAGATTAATGAATGCAAAAAAAAGCGCTTTGGACAGAAAGCAAAGTGCTTGTCTTGCACCTTTTTTACATTTCATAGGGACTGACGATTAACTAGGAAATATAACTCTACCTTCGTGCCAATACAATTGCTCTACACTAAGCACTTTCACTGGCATGAAAGTACACACACAAAAACCTGCTGTAGATGTCCCGTTAAACCAGTTAGGCTTTGGCTGGGGTCCAGTGCTTCTCCCTCTTGCAACTCAACTGACGCTCAAGTGACAGAGAAGGAAAGCCCAGAAGGATCTTGTGCTAGGATAAAATGGCCCCATTTGGGGACATTTGCTGAGAGAGTGGATTGGAAGCAAAACCAATCTGAAAACAGTGTCTGCAAGGTACAAAAGGAAGTCTGCCTTGCCTATATACTAGCAGGAGAACTTCAGGCTTTTTAACAAGACTCTAACAAGATTTTTCAGCCATTTAAGAGTTAAACCAGTGAAGGTGCACACACTATACATGTTACTACTGCAAGTTGTCAGCAGTTAATAGCGTTGCTGGTTAAAAAGACCCAATAAAAATGTGCTTTTTGCACCTGAAGGATAAAATCCTTTAAAAAATTGATTTTTAAAAGATTTGGTAAAGAGTCAAGGAGGCATACCCAGCTTTTGGCAAAAATCCTGCTTAGGTTTTGTCAAGGCCATTGTCACAAAACATCCCGAATTCTCACCCGCTTGGCTGGCTGAGTGGAGACCAGAACCTCCCCTGCGCGCTGTGCCTTTGAGCTCAAGACCCAGAAAATTTGTGACGAGCTGTGATTAGTTCCAGCAGAAGCTAACGCATCACCCACCGAAAGAGTGAGCACGAGCAAACGAGCGGATAAGAGCCCGGCAGCGGCGTGAGCGGCTGGAAGGGCACCAGGCAGCCATCGCTTCACACCGACTTTTGCCTCCTCCTCAGAGACACCAGCCCTACTGGTAATGATAACACTTGGCAAACTGGCCTCACAGCTTCAGGCTAAGTGTAACTAGTATCTCTTTAGTTCATCCTTATCTTGCTCTTACACGGCTCAAAGTGGTTTATTTTTTTAATGACAAAGGAGCCTATGTACATTCTTGTCAATAAATATTTGCAAGCGCATTAATTCTCTACCTTATATTAGGAGTTGTTTTCACATTACTATGTAACAAAATGCCCTATTTTTTTCCCCAGAAAAGATTGTCTCCCCAGTTTCAAATGAAAATTTTCATGAAGCTGTCACTTCCAGTATATTTTATGGTGCTTTGTTGAACAAATTGGAGCATACTTGCAAAATTTCTGAAATATTACTGAAATGTACTAAGCAAAAGGAAAAAAATTCTTTCTCATGAAGGGGAAATTGTCATCTCCAGTAAGGGCATCTTAAAATGTGGGAAGCTTAATACTGTCATATTGGAACCTCAAAATACTACACTCTGTCTGTAACAAGTTTTGGATGGGGGGATATCCACTGAATAGCCAGTTCTACAAGTTGTATAAGTCCTCAGGAGCAAAAAAAAAAAAAAAAAAAAAAAAAAAGAAGGCAGCATGAGCTAATATGAGAAAAAAGCCAAAATAAAATGGGATTTTTCCCTGGTTTGTTAATTTGATTGGCACACCAGTGTCAATCTATATACAGTGTACCCAGAACACAGCTAAGAAGAGCTATCTGTGAGCTGAGCTGCATCCTTTCCAGATGATCTTTACTAATTGAGAAATCTCTTTTTGTCTCCATCCATTACCTTGAATTATCTGCATGAGAGCAGCTGCCTGTTAAAGCAAAAATCACTATTTTTTTTACAAGGCAAATGGCCTTTTCCACATGGGGACATTTCTTAATGAAATGAAAAGCAAACAAGCTACTCTCTGTTGTGCAAAAAAACGTGTTCGACACAGGGACGTGAAGCTGAAGGTCAGCAGTTACGGCTGGCTGCATCATTATGTCTCAAACTGAATGTCACCCACATAGTCACCAGTGCTCAGTGTCACACTGGGAGGTTTGGCAGGGAGGGGAGGTACTGCAGAGGTCTAAGAAAAATCAAGAGAGAAGTTATTAAAGCTGATGCCATCTGGAACCTCTTCTAGTCTACCATCCTCAAAGATGCAGCCTGAAAGGGTCTGTCCTTTCCAGATGGGCTGGGTGAAGGAGGGACAGCAACGTCACCTAGGGAGGGTGTTGTTGGCAAGGAAAGAAAGGAAAAGAAAATGCAGAGAGATGGAGAGAACAGAAATGTAAGAGCTGAGCCTCCCAGCAGGGCTGGGAAAATCTCCACAGAAAACCAGAGAAAATCAGTAACAGTATGAGCAGTTTTGCCCTCAGCCACACTAGATGCCTGCTAAGTTCTTATCTGAGGACAAGTGGACTAGCACCGGCTCTTCTGCAGAAAGCAGAAAGCCTAGCTCCTAGTCTCCTAGTTTTAATCCACAGTTCTCATATCCCATGAAAGCAGTCAATTCACCTGATTTGGGGGTAATATTGGTGGGAACGCCTCCCAGTCTTTGAAAGCCAGCCACTGTGCAGCCAAAAATGCTAACTACTGAGGGCAGGTGAAGAGGGAGAACAAGTGTCCTTGTAGGCTAACAACCCTGGGGTTGGAGACAGCCACAGCAATTTTCAGGAGCGTTTCACAGATGCTGTAAGACTGTGAACATCCTCACGTGGGGCACCCAAGTCTCCTCCACTCACAAGGGACTCGTATCAGCACCATAAACCTACTCTGAGAGGCAAGAGCTGAAATCATAAGCATGTGCTGTCATGTTCAGTGCTTTAGTGTTTTCCCCAGATCTGGCTATTATCGTACTGTTAATTGTTGTATTAGACCACCACTAGAATCATATGGCCATTTCTCACACAAACAAAACCAGTTTCTATTAAGTCAGTGAATCCATCTGAATGCAGCTCCAAGTACTTCCTTTTTCAGAACAAAGATGTCTTAATAGAGATCTCCCAAAACAACAAGTATTTTACAGCAACTTGTGGTATTTCTTAGGTTAGGATAATAATACCAATTTATCAATACTTTAAAGCATATGACATTGTTCTTTTAAATAAAGGAAGCAAAACTGAACATATTCATTGTGGAATTAATTTTTCCATGTATCAAAGCCAGTGCACTATTTGTTTAGTTCATTTTAATACATAGCTCTTATATAAAATAATTTGGCTTTTGTTATAAGAACCACATTTATTCAGGGACTTATTACATCCTCAGCACTTCAGTAATATGTACCGTAGTAATTTGTAAGGTGTGAGTTGATTGGTTTTCACAATTAGCTTCAAATGTCAGAAAGCTTCAGGCTATGGCAATAACCCCAGGTTTGTATTTGCCTGAAAATACAAAGTTTGGTGATTGCACCATTTCTTCGTCAGCAAAACTATAGCCAGCAGAATCAGTGCCCAGCCTTGATGAAAGGGAGGTATCAGCTGGGGTGGCCTGGGCCAGAAGTTCTCTAGCAGCAGCTCCAGGTCAGCTCTCCTCTTCTTTCATCCCAGGTGAATGGCAGCACAGTGCCTTGGCATCAGAAGGGTTTCAGTAAGTTAAAGCATGAAAAAGTCACTATGGACTCACCTGAAGTCAAATATTCACTGTCAACCTCAAAAGTTCAGAGACAAATTGTAAATCATCATTTTAATGCATTTTTTTTAGTATTTTACAGAAAGTCTACATTCTATAGGAACCTATAAAATGAGAAACCTTCTGATGCTACCCACATGTGTTGCTGGAACCCACTAACACTACGAATAAACCTTCCTCTGTTTGTAATGCTGCAGTACTCTTGAGAAATGCCAGCGTTGTCCTACAGCAAGTCAGAGCTATGGGGAGGAATGGAAAGAGCTAAAATGCAAATCTTAAAAAAATTCAGCTATAAAAGGAAGAAGAGAAGACTGCCATTGCTAAAGTCTCTCTCTAATGTGACTAGAGAGGCATAGAAGTAAGAGAAATTCAATTAGCAAGGTATTTTATTCACATTGTGTCTGACGAGGACTATTGGCTCCATTTGACTACCCTCCAGATGGAAGATTCGAACATACTGGATAGGTTAATAATAAGCTCCTACAGGGACATTCAGATTATGTATCGCAGTTAAGGTTTAATTCACAATAATGCGCACAAGCACAAATGCGTGAGAAAAGGCTGACAGAACCATTTATCTGGTGTTTCTCTGAGCTAATGCCTCATACAGGTCAGCAAAGTTCAAGACGTGTTTTTGCAAAGTGATCCTACGTCTTTCTGCAGAGGTCTGCGGGAGAAGACGGCACTTTTGCTGCCCCATGGGCTGCCTGTTAATGGTCCTCGTGTGCGGAACAAGAGCTGTCCCCTCGCGCTGTGGAGGGACACGAATACAAACCTGGGGGAGCTACGCACTGGGCAGTAACACCGAAATTCACTGGGGCTCCTCTGCGGTCTCCCTTGGAGAGGGAAGAGTGAACCTTGCCCAGTCCTTGCTGTCTCTTTAGAGAGAATTTGGGTCTGGACACCAAATGGAGGAAGCGCTTTCTAGTAGATCCTATCCAGACACCTGCTTGACAGGGGAGCACAGGATTTCCACTTTCTTTTGTAGTGTTTCCTACCACAAAAAGGTCCTCTCCTCAACATATAGGTTTTTAGATCACCAAAAAAAGTCCCTGTAGAAAGCCCAGCTGCCCATCTCCAGCCTGTAGACTCTCCTCCAGAAGCCAGGTGCCCCTCAGGAAATCATCTAAGATTATTCCATCGTCTTTAAGGAAACTAGCTGAAGTTATAAAATCCTTCAGAGTGAGTCACTCACCTGCTCAGTATCTTGATCACCGATTTCTTCAAGGTACTTTTTAAAAGGATTGGGTTGATAGGGTTCCTCCTTTTGCTGTGCACTCTTCCCTTTCACAAGCACAGGACGAATGACACCAGGTTTTGTCTTGACCCATAGCGCACCCAGGAGAAAAGAGATGGAAGAAAAATAAAATAAAATACTTCACAATTTACAGAATATTTGTTAGACAAGTTAATTCCAACAGGGTGTACTGATTAGATTTTTTAAAATTTTATTAATAACATATTTCACCACCCAAACTATTTGGTTGTCATGCTGCCTGGCCTACTTTTAACACAGATTGTGGACAAAAATGGCAAAAGCTGTTTTTATGCACAGAGCCTCACCACTGACATCTGTTTCTTATTGACACAAAAATAGATGCTGGGCTGTCAGACTGTGGTTTGTGGGCTTTGCTGGCTGTTTTTGCTAACTGTTCAGCTGCATCTTGATAAGTTCATCAAGTCACACTTTATGCACAGCCACACATCTGCTTTCACACTGCAAATTCCTTTCTGGGCTACTCAAAACAGTAACTGTGAAACAAAGAAGGTCAACATGTGATGCTGTTAACTTATACCCAGGCAGCAACATGTTAGGGAAAAGTCTTTCTGGGGAATAATACCAGTGATCACATGCTGGATTTTGACAGTATCTTTAAGACTTCACTTGGAAAAATACATTTTTAGAGAATTTAATCAGCATGGATCTGTGATACCCCTCATTTCAGACAAATCGGATTATTGAATTAAGAAAAAATTTCCTGGTTAGCTACCAGCCAACCAAAAAATTGACTATCAACTTGTCAATTTAATACAGCTGTGATTTTCAGAATTCTTGCAGTAAAGTCTGACATGATGGGTTGTGGCATAAACTCTAAACAGAGGCTAGGGGATAATTTTAAAATAAACAACTTGTTTGGTAAGCAAAGAAAAAGAAGAAAAAAGTGTACATTCTCACTGGAATTTGGTAAGAACTGAAGTCCTGGAGAAGTCTGTGATTGAATTTAAACGTCAGTTATATTCTTCTCTGTTACAGCTACCCCACAGAAAATGGGCAGTCTTTGTCATAACTGATATAGGTAACAACAGGACTGCTGCTGAGCTCCTTCTCTGGTTGCAGTCCAGAGGGGCAGCTTGCCCAGCTGGGACTGGAAATAGGTGCTGTCACAGCTCCCCATCCTCAGTACCCAGCAGGGTACAAAAATGCAGAGAAGAAACTGGATTCACTATGAGATTTATTTATAAGATTTAGATTATGTACATTTAATAACACCTGCCGCCTATTTACAAGAGCAATACGCTTACGAAGTCCGTCTGGAAAAAAGAGAATGATGCAGCTGAGATTGCTGGATGCATCATGTAAACTGAGTTATGGATCACCTTAAAATAAGATCTGCAGGCATCTGGCAAGGACAGGGCAAGAGGGGCGCACATCGGAGGGGGGGCTACAGGAGGCAGGAGATGTCCCCATGTCTTGTGCTCCTGCCTCTGCCCTGGGAAAGGACAGAGTGCTGCCCAGGGGCTGGGTGGAAGGTGGCAGAGGCAGGAGGAGCACAACACGCCTGGGAAGAGCAAGGCCCAGGCAGCAAAATATCTTCCCTTAGCTTTGTGTTTTATCCCCTCCCTCTTTTCCACAGGTTGGGGCCCTTTCATCTGCCTCATCAAATAAGAAGAAACATATTCAACCGAAAGCAAAAAGTAAGCCACAAGGTGGTACTAACTTTTTTAAGAGACAATGACTGCCAAGTTGCATTAAAAACTTAAACTTTTTCATTAGAAGATCAACTTATTGAAAGATACGGTGCTCATTTAATGAACTTACAGTCCATATTTCATGACTATTTCTTTGTAGGATTCACCATGAAATAATTATTTTCCTCTCCGAGATTTCTGAGAAGAGTTTCTAAAAGTAAAAGACTCCTGGCTTTCAACATAAAGGTAAATATAAAAATAAAAAGAAAGCTACAGTTGTTATCAAGTCATCATTATGCAGACAAAGGACCTGTGGCCTTCTAGCACTCCTCCACACCATGTAACCACGCAATTAAAAGCCCATTGAGGTACCTGAAATCATCAAGGATAAGCTACTCTCCTTACGTAGGAAACCTCTTCCAAAAGCACGCTGTAGAAATGCTTTTAAGGAAGCATTTTCTAAACAACATCGCGCGCTGAAGTGCTGACTGAGTCATATGTTTATGTCTGACTCTGCTAACAGAGTGGCAGATATCAGCCAGCAGCCAGAATTTCGAAGACTTTATTAGCTCCCTGACAAGTTATATAAAATCTTTGATCCAAAACTAAAAACTTGAACTCTTTCTTCAATAGCGGGTGGCACAACTGACGCTGCTGCGAAACAAGCTAAGACTGTTTTGCCAAGGAAAGCGTTGGCCTTCCTACAACAGTCCTGAAAAATGGTGAAGGCTGTCATGGTAGCAATGGGCTGTCATCATATGGCTACAGCCCTATTAGCAAATTACACAGGGCCAAGACACAAGCTCCAGAGCTGACCCATAATTACTTCTACCGATTCAGCACCAGGGTGCTCCCTGGCGTGGTTTTGGCCCAGGTCAGCAAGTGCACAGTCAGAAATAGGAGGATAGGCTGGGCCAGGGCACCCGTTGATTGGCAGTATGGACACGACCACCCTTCTTCAGGGACAGGAGGTATTTTGGCTGTATGAAAATGAGCCTTGCACGATATTTGCCTCAAAAGTCAGAAGAGTGAAATTCTCATCAGCAGGTGGATGGGCATGTTCACCTCGAATTTTTCCTTCTGTTATTGTGACACTGGCTGTCCCTGAGATCTTGCTGACAGGGGTGAGGAAGGTCCCAGCTGCAACCCCATTCCTCTCAGCAGAGGCCTAAAATCCTCTGAGTCCCATGTTTCTCCTATCTGAGTCACTATTGCTTCCCCTTATCCAGAGTATTGGGAGATCTCCAGTATGTAGGGCCGGACACCTCTTTGGTAACTAGCAATGACTGCACTAACTCTTTGCGGTGCTCTGTGTCACTACACAGACGTTAAGTTGTTCTGGATAGCTGAACAGCTTTCCTGCAAACAAGAAAGTTGCCTCTTAATGTTTAACAAGGGATTAGCTTTTTAATATGTTTTCGATGCCGTGCTGTTTTGAAACAGCCTGTCTCTGAGGCAGCCAGACAAATTATTAACAAAAAATATGACATGATCAGATAAAAATATATAATAAAATGGGAGAGCTAGCCTTGGGATAAAAGAGTTAGCTGCCCTCTTTCTTTCCTTTCTGCTCTAGGTCCATCAGACCTCATTTGGCAAATAACAAGCCCTGAGTCTATCTGTTCGCCTGCATAGCCATTTATATCTAACTTTTCTGTACAAATATTTTCTTGCAGTCTTTGAAGCCTTCTCCTTCAAATGGGATAACCAAAGAATTCCCTCACGGAGAGGAACCATTCCCAGTCCTTTCTAACGACCTCCTTAGTTTTTAGGAAAGGGACCCTGGGGCAGATTGGGCAAGTATGCAACACAGCACGCCCCAGCCAATGCAGTCATCTTCTGTCAGCACTGAGAAGCCAGAGTCACCTGAGGAGCCTCTAAAGAGTTGAGAGCACCTGCTTTCAGATAGTGAGCATCTGGCTCCCTTGTCATGAAGGATCATTGCAGTTTCCACTGTCAGCAAAAAGATGCTTTTAGCCCTAACAGTACAAACAGAGATGCTTTGTTTAGTTGGACTGTGAAACACCTTAAAATAGTACCCTTCTATTTCTTTTCTGCCACAAATTAGACTTCACAAAGGGAAATATGTTATTGAACATATTAGTTTATCTTTATTTTCCCTTGTAGAGGCCTTACACTTGCCAAAATCCAGTAAAACAATCCAGCCAGTGTGTCAGTCTACAATGAAGTTCTTCTTTAGTACATTTGAAGGTGTGAAGGCATATAACTGTGGTTAAAAGGATTTCCTCTTCCTCCAGCTAAATAGTAAATCATTCACATCACTGAAAAGCCTAGGAAGAAAGGATAATTATTTTCTCCACCTTCATGCTGAAGCAGCAGCAGGTTTTGCACCAGAGCGGCGAGAACAGTCACCTGTTTGAAATTCAAGTTGTCTTTATTTTTTTTTCATACTGAAATATTTGCATTTAAAGAAGCAGCTGAATTTTCAACAAGATGTCTGATACTATACTGTATTATGATTTCCACTGACTCTGTGCTAAACTAAGCCAAAACTAAAATCAATGGATTTAGTTCTTTTCCATTCTACTCACAGTACAAGGATGAGTCCTTTCCTCAACAGCTGGAGAAAACAGACCCACAATAAGAGTAGTGCGAAGGAGGCATTCACCTCTGCTGCTGTTCTGGGATCAGCAGAGGAGCAAGTCTGCAAGTCTGGGACCAGAAAAGGGAGCAGGTTCGCCCAGGCACTGCTCGCTGCCCAGGCTGGTGGCAGGGAGGGGTATAAGGGCAAGCCCTCAGAACTGACGCTGCTCTCTGCTTCCTTCCCTTTCTTTAGGAAACCCTTTAAGCACATTTAAGTTCCCTTCACTCACATTTTCCTTTGGTATATCATTAAACTCTTTCTTACTTTGTTGTGTGATGGCTCTACATGGATCACTCCTCAAATGCCTTCCAGAAGTCATTCATGTGCTCAAAGGCCGTGAAATCATTTTAGGTGGACAGATGCACCCACGAGCCCTGATTTTATGTTGGACCTGACAACTATGCTATATTTGATGCCATTCTGGCCAGAAGTGGGTCTTAAAAGATGCTGAATTGAGTGCTAGTTTATCTTAAAGCAATCACAGTATAATTCTTGAGGTGTCGTATTCTCAAGCATGGTTTAATTTATTTCATGGAACTTTGGGCTCAACAGATTTAAATGTAGGAAATACTGGTAATATATGTGTTTCAAAATAAATTAATTAGAGAAAAAATACTTCAAGCTGCCAAGTCACATCTAAAATACACCAGAACAAATTAAGCCATAGAAATATATCTAGATATTAAATGAAACACTCCAGCTTTAACTCCTGGACCAGACCATTGTTATCTACTTTTCTCTAATGCTTTTCTTCCTTCAAATGCTTGAACTCATCTTCTGTCCAGTCTCAAGTTCCTGCAACTCCTATCCACAATCCTTTCCATGCAAGAAACTGCACTGTGTTCTTTCTGTTACTGTCATTTAAACCTGCTCACAAAATGCAGAAATACCGTTCTGTATTTGCTCTAAATATATATGACTCCCCTCCTACTATTTTTGTATATAAATACATTTTGATAAATCCTTCCATTGCACACTCATTAAAATTGCACACAGCATTAAAATGTCTGAACCAAGAAAAACTAAGAAAATGGTACCAAGGTATGCAAGACTGGTCCCATGTGAATTTTGTCTTATTTGCTTAATGTATAAAGAACAAATGTTGTAGTCAATGATAATGGCGATATTGTGTGTAGCGTTGGTGTGCTGGGTATGGCTTTGCACTTTGTTATCCTAGGTCCTTCACAGCCATCTTTTAAAAGAGTAGAAAATCTGTTGACAAGAGTCACAGTGGCATGCCCAGTGCTTTGCCTGTCCATTGGATAGAAGTCACACAGCTGAGAGGTGTAGGTATAATAACTGGTCCCTGGTATAGCTGGTCAGAGATTCCACAAGAGGAGAAGTAATTAGCTGAATCACAAATCCTGCAAAATTTCTAAGTCAGAATGTTACTACTGAAGAGTCATTCATCAATAGAGATCACAGTGTGCTCAGAGACAACATTGCTGTCTGATCAAAAAAGACACACAAGAATTCCACTGCTGTAATTTAAAGATATAGATAAATAATTAAAATAGTTATAAAAAAAAGAGAAAAAAAAATCAAAGGAGCTGCCAAAAGGATGAAATGGTTATAAGTGACCAGAATACTGCTTAAGACAGTAATGTTTCCAAGAAGTTATGTACCAGCTTAGAAGAATTTAAGAGATCAATAAATACTAGGATGTTCAAAGAGCACTGCAAAGAAGTGAAAAAAGGAATGAGGAAAAGGCTCAAAGGACATAAAGATGTATTCAAATACAGTCTAGAGAAAAAAAGAAAGAAAGAAAAAAAAATCCAGCCCATAACATAAATATGTCATACAGTAGGCCAAGAAAGACTTTGGAAAAAAAAAAACAACTTGCTAAATTTCCTTACAACTAAAAGTCTATGGGGCCAGTAGATATAATCAACACATAAAAAAGATGCATGAAGAAGAGGAGACCAAGGCTGAACTTCAGCTTTCCTCACAGGAGGACTTAGGGAGGTTCTCACCCAGGCAAAGAAACAATTTTGAGGAACTGTTTCAAGTACAGTGTCTTTAAGACAGATTTGAGAAAAAATCAATAAAATGAGCAAATAAAGTACAAGGAATAAATAAAGTTGTAAAGCAATTCCAGTGTGAAATGGCCACACTATGAATTGTGGTATTTAACTTACTCCTTCAGACATAATCAGTACCAAGAGAATGAGAAGTGGCAACTATGGGACAGGTTTTACCACAGGATCCTGGATCACAAATCACTACATGTGACATTTCAAGCTGTACAAAGTAGTAGGAACAAATTATACTAAAGAACAGAATTACTATACATTTGGACAAATAATCGGGAATGGCTTTTGAAAGGGCACTCATGCCTGATAAATCTTTTACAGTTATTTTAAAGGGTTAGTGATGCAAGAAAGCTGGCTGATACAGCAGTTATGTTTAAACTAGCAATATGAAAACTTTTGGCATCTAGGAAAAGACATTAGATGAAATCAATTGGGAATCAACAGACCGTCTTATGTGAGGCTCAGTGTCTGGGTTTTTTCTCTCCCCACCAGGTCCCTAAATGCACGACCAGGGATAACAAAATTGAGGCTGCGTCACACATTATAAAGTTCAGTGAATGTTCAGGCACGTTGCACGTGGATTTCCAAAGGCTTTGGTGAAGGTCTTTCAGCAGGGTCTACTAAGGAAATGAAACTGCTAGGAGTAAAAGAGAATATTTCCTATGGACCAGTTAAAAGATAGGAAGGAAAAGGTTGGCATAAATGTTCAAATTTCACAGTGGAGGGAAGTTACAAATAGAGTTCCTCAGAGACATGCTCTGCAATCTGGGCTTTGAATTATGGACGTAGATCAGCTAGAAAAGAGTGCCTAGTAAGGTGACAAAGTTTGCCGGTAATACTGAATCATTCAGGGGAGTAAAAACAAAATATCAGTGCAAAGAGTTGCAGGGAGATTTTATGGTACTGAGCGAATGAATGATAAAAAGGCGGGTGAAACTTACTGAATTCAACATTGATACATTTCACAGGGAAAAACTAAACCACATCCTAAATTTACACATGCAGTGATGAACTAATTAGCTCGGAAACTAGCTCTTGCTACTCAGGAAACATGTCTTGGACTTATTGTATAGACTTCTATGCAAACATTGCTTACTGTTGAACACAAGTAAAAACTAAATAAATTACTAGGAACTGTTAAGAAAGGAATAGAAATAACAACAAAGAATGTTATCATGTTGTTCTGTAAATAGGAAGCAGAAGTGTTCAGAGCTAGAAAAGAGCAGTTCATGGTTTTAGTCTCCAAATCTCAAAAACAAAAACCTGAAAAAGATACAGAAAAGGGCAACAAGGATCATCAAAGATAAGGGACTGTATCCATACTTCTCGAGAGTGACTAAGCAATTTTGACTTTTCTGTATGAAAAAGAGGTGACTGATAGGGTATTATGGTTAATACCTAGAAATCTTTAATATTATTTAGAAAGTGAAGAAAGAACAATTATTTGCTGTTTCAGTACAAGACCTGAGGTCAAGTAGTAGGTTTAAAACAAAGAAATAATGTACTATTTCACACAATGCGTAATTAAAAAGTAAACCTTATTGCTACAGAATGTTGTAGAGACCAAAGTATAAAAAGATTTTAAAAGTAACTGGAAATAATCATGAAAGAAGAAGTGGTCAAAGATTACTAAACAGAAGAAATTGATTCAGGAAGTCCCTAAAATTCCGTTAGCTGAAATACAAAGGGGAAAAATTCTCATCCACATCTCATTTTTTCCCTAAGCGTTCATTAGTGGTCACTGTCTCTTGGACAGGCTCCGTGACCTCTCTTCTGACTCTTCTTCAGAAAGTTTGGCTCCAACGGGACTTAACTGTGATGAGAGCTAAAATGAACATCTGATGCATAATCTCCCTTTCTTTATTTGATTTTTACCCTTGTTTTTCAGTAGTTAAGCCAGCTTTGATTAAAACCAGTAAGAAGAAAATAGATGCCGGAACGTTGTTGCATATAAACAAAATTGTAGAAGTGTAATATTAAAAGAGTCCAAAAACCAGCAGTAGACTCTACAGTTGTCATATGCCTCAAGATTCAGCAAGGTTGTCTAGTTTGTCATTTGGTTCCTGGGTTTACAAGTACTGTCAGGATTTACAGTTACTTAAAACAGCTGTGTATTCAGTACAGAAGAAAGCAATGCAGCTTTGTAGGAGGATATTGACTGCAGGTTCTTTCAAAGGACTAAGAAAGTAAATAATGATTCCTTTAGCTTTTGTGCTTGTGCAAATTTTGAAAAACAGCGTATCACAGCTGTGCAATACATACCAGCTGACTCTCTGTTACCATAGGTGCCGATTTGTAAAGGTTGGCCTGTCAAAAAGGTAAATATATACAGTTTTACATACAATATCATAGTGATTATAGCGATGACAGAAGAAAAAGCCACAGACAGCAGTATGCTTAGGTACAGAAGCTTTTACCACTGATGCAGTGACATGCAATTGGTAAGAGAAGTTAAAATATTGTCATTTCCAGTTTATTTCTGGGTATAATCAAATATAAATGCCCATTAAACTTTTGGGATACTTTTTTCCAAGTGCAACAAAATTTCACTTTTTCATCTCAATCTAATCTCAAAATGAAAATCCTGACATTTCTGAGCCTGCCATTGCCTGTTAATTTGCAGCATCAATGCTATTAATGCTATCAATTGTATTGGGAGCTCAGTCCAACTTTTTCATCCTCTGACTTTACATTATGAAAACCAGAACAATCCTACTCAAGCATTACTCTTTTTTTCGAAGTATACATTGAACAGCAGAAGCCCTATTTTCCAGATAAAGGGTAAATGTGATGAATGCAAAGTATTTGTGTGTGTATGTGAAACAGCCATGTGCCACATGCTTATTTGCCCACACAGTGGTGACATTCAGGATTTCTGGTGCATTGATCCCTCCAATCAATTCCTTCAAGTTCTTCAGGAGTTCCACTGGATAACACAGTTTCTGTATGGATAACATGCCCTTCCTTGATGTAGGTGTGATTTGGAGGCCTTGAGACTCTAAAATGCCAATGTTCTTCAGTATGGTGGTAAAAAAAAGTACTAGATGCAATGGTTAGATGTTATAGCAGTAGTAGAAGAAAAGTCAGTGCCATTACAGCCTGCACCCTCTGCAGAAGAACCACTACAGTTGTTTTTTTATCCACTCAGCTATATGCTCCTCTCACCATTTTGAGCAGAAAAGCAATTCCAGCTCATTTGGAGGTGGAAGAATATGCTTTTCCTTTGTTCCCCTGTGACAAAGACCTTGGAGAGATTTGGCCACAGAACTCCAGATGTGGCCTCCCAAGTGCTAGAGATGTTTCCTCACTCCCTGGACCTGTTGGCTCTAGTCCTGCACTGGTGGTGAGAACAGCATCACCATGAGTCATGGTGGAGGACTGTGCTCCTCGCTGAGAGCACTCACATCTCTAAACACAGCTACTGGTGGAGGAAACCTTCCCACCGACACAGGGACAGCTGTGATTTAGCACAAAATCTACCAGAGGTCCATCTTCTGCCCTTGACAGAGTAAACTAGAGTTTTTACTAGTGGCTACTTACACACTAGGGACTCACTTTCATACCAGTAACCAAGTGTGATGACCAATCTCCTTGTGGGCTTAAAGACACCAAAGCACTTCAGAAGGATCTAAAGATACAAGTGGGCTAGAATGAAATTCTCTCACTTCAGTGGTGCAAATTAAGAGTAAATCTCATTTCAAAGGGGTTACCTGAAATGTATATAAGCACAGCAGACTGCAGATAAAGAAAAACGCTCTTATTTCTGCATGTCTGTGTGCATTTTTAGCTGCTTCATATTTTCTCCTTTTTTTCATTTGTGTGTCATGTCTGTAACACTTAAAATAGGTTTTTTTAGAATAGAATTGTCAAGAAGAGCAAAAATGTCAATAATATGCAAAGTAATTATTCCAATTAATCATGAGAAATTATTTTTTAAGCAGTTGTAAGTGGGCTAAATGATAAAACTATAAATTTGCTAGAACTTGAAATTAAAGTTAAGAAAGCTTTCACTGGTAACAGTAATTATATGGAAACACAATGTCTAAGTATTTATATTAGGCACTCGATAGCCATAAAAGTAATTTCTTTAGAGAATGATTATATTATTATTACCCATCAGCAGTATCATCCCTAAAGCCAACAGAGATGCACTATTATAAAATGGTGAATGGGATCTTATCAAAGACCATACAGTTTAAAAAGTTGTTAAATGACAACAGTAGTACTTAGTTGTCAGCTGGTACAAACTGTTGTAATTTCACTGAAGTCAGACATTTTTCCATACTTCTTATATGCTCCCTTGCTATTTGTACAATCATTTACATCCTTAAAAGGTTCTGAAGTGCATGAGAAGACAAAAAGTAATTGAGGCTGAAGCAAATCTGTGCCATTTTAATTGTTAAATGGCAGGCTATTTCAACATATTTGTATAGTCTACCACTCCATATAACCTACTGAATTAGTAATATTATCATGTGTGCATGCATATACATTTACGTGTGTGTGTTTATAAATAACACTTTAGCATGATGACAGATTTTCCTATCCCTGACTCATAATAAACAAATTGAAGCTTTTCTTTTAACCAAAAGCACCCTCAAAGCAACATTTTGTCAAGCATCTCAATATCAGACATCATGAATACAAAAAGATTAAGAAAATTATATTGGTAAATTACCATTTTAATTCTTTCTAGTAAAATTAATTCTGTTGCATAAACTAAAAGCCTACTTCTGCGAGTGAGCTGCAGGGATGAGGCCAGTGGAAGGGGAAGAGGAGAAGACAACTCAATGGAAAACCACCTCAGAGCGTGCTCACCCTAAGGGCCGGAGGACAAGCCACCACCTGGTTTGTTAGCTGCGATAGAAATAGCTTTTGTCTTCCAGAGGAAGCAGAGCAAGAGACGGGGAAAGAGCTGTGATGTATGGGGTCTGTCAGGGACACGTGGCTTGTGCCTCAGGAGACTCTGCTGCAGGCTGCAGCGATGGCAGAGTCCAGCAGAGCCTGGACCCACCACGTTCAGCCACCACGCCACAGCTTGGAGTCCACAGTCTATTTTCTGACACACCAAAAATGCAACATGCTTGTACAATTAACAGGAAAGGTTAGCCTACCAATAATCCTCTGTGTTATTCCCAAATGTATTTTTAAATATTGATTTGTTTCTTTATCTAGAAAGTTCCAGGGGAGACTGGGAAGGAAGAGTTTGTAAGGGTGATTTTCTATGCCAGCAAAGAAAACCTAACTGTATCCCTAAGGCATGTAAGTTGGATGCCTGAAATATGCTATATGTCAGCCACAGTATTAGGAGCTGGAGATCTGCATTGGAGTGGTATTAAATATCCCTGTTCTCACAGACTACCTCTGAAACACACTCTTCTATGTCATTGAAAAGCTCTCTTCCAATATCCTTCCTAATTGCTATAAGCCTGCACAATCTGTCAAGTAAAAAATCACGGTATGCAATAAAATATGCATACCACCACATTCAAGAAGCAAAGTGAAATTGTTCAGTCAAGCATTGTGCTGGCATAAGACTAGGAGGCCTCTATTGCTTTGCCAGCACTGCTTTGATTTGAAGTTCAATAGAAACACTGAATGATGAACAGTAAGCAGAGATTTCTCACCACATGACTAGTTGAGTTGTAAGTAAAACACAGAACCTGCAGTAACTGTGTGTGCTAGTGAGAATTAAAATGTTAATTGGGTTTAATGTTTCAATAATTGAACTGATGACTCAATACAGAGATTTTCTTTATATGTTGGAACATGTGTATATGTGACAAAACAGCTTCTATTTGTCTAAGGCTAAACTGTGGGGTTTCAGCCAGCTCTATATCTTGGAAAGAAAAGTTTGGGTCAACCTCAAATTCTGATGGATAGGCAAGAACCAAAGGAATTCTACCAAAGCAAGTCCCCTACAGTGCAGGCTGAGTCCAAACAACTAAACCCTTCAGCACCCGTAACAGTCTGTTTGCCAAATAGCTGAGCTCTTGTCCAACACTCAAAGCAAACAAAAACAAAGAAGTGTGTGAATAAATTAATTTTAACATATTCACACAGGTAAAATTATCAGTGGACACTGCACTGAGGATATTCCAGCCATGACAGATTTACAGCAGTGGGAAGACTCAATCTCAAGTCTCAATTGCCAATGCTCTAGCATGCTCGCTTCTCCGTACTAGAGAAAACACCTCAAGTAGATGAGTAGATGCCTGTGTCTGCTACGTGCAGACTCACCTAGTATGGTAGCAAGATTAGACAAATTAGATATTTGTGCATGCAAAGTATAGAGTAATTATAAAAGTACTTACATATCTTGTTTCACGCCCAGCTGCTCTCTGCAGCGTTGTTGACACCTTATAGAAAATAAATGGTTATATTAAGAGCAAAGAGTTATTCTGAGGAGTAACTTAGATTTTCATCATTGTGACAAGTTATTAATTGTTGAAATTCAAGAAAAATTCAGTTTTCCGTAAAGATTCATGAGATGATACTTGAGAATAAGGTATATTAAAGTTTTGCTTGAGGTGCTTACTGTAGAAAGTATCACATTTCATTTTTACCACTCAAAAACATTGATCCCACTCTATTCAAGCTGGCCTTTAAATTGCCTCTGAGAACTCCCATAACAAAAAGCTTATTAGTATACAGCCACAAGTTTGGTTGCCCCATGATATTTAAGTTACATGTGCTCACAAAATAACCTGAAACACCATCTTTTCTCATCTGCAAGAACTTGCTTTCCTCTGACCAGTCCATTCTACTTCTAAGGCATTTACTTATTACATATACTCCTTTTTCCTTCCTGTTTATGAGTCTCTTTTACGCTCAGTTTAGGCACTGTACTCGCTCATTCTGAGGTCTTCAAAATCTTTAGCTTGGTCCCTATGCTGCATCCTGGTAAACTCACCTTTTGCCTCCTTTATTTGGTTTCATGACTGCTAACAGATGCCTTCTATTTGGTTAAGGCTCAGTTCTCAATTGTCCAAGGAAGTAGGTTTTGGATGCTATAGCTCAAAAGTCCAACTTAGTAGTAGAATTTTAACCACTTCAGATTCAGTGCAGGCATTGGAAAACATTTCCTCAATAACGGTCTCTTCCTGCTTTTTGGCTACTGTACTGTTTCCATCTTTCAGCTGCCTGAAGCCTGATTCACCACTGCGTGCTGGTTGACAGAAGTAATTTCAAAAGTGAAACTGAAATTTGAAGTGTATATTGAATATACCCACTCAGGAATGCTGGTTCTGTGCCTCGTTTTTGCATGGTGGACTGTACGTTGTGCAGGATATTTTGAATGCGTTAACTTTTTGATGTGTTCCTCTGCCAAAAATCCCTTTCCTCCTGTTTCCAGCTGGATTTCTGCCATTTTCACTTTCCTATAGCTAGTAATACCAACTTAAATTTACCTGGGGTAAACTGAATACAGGACCCTCCTCCCTTGGTTATTCATCCTTCTGAGCCCAGAAGGCACACCAGTATAACATAGTGAAACCAGAAGGTTAACACCAGTATAGAAAGTAACTCCTGCCTCTCACTACCTGTTTCTGAGCTATCTGGGGTAAATGGATGTAGCAGACATCCCCCTCCTGTGAGGAGCCAGAGTTGAAAGGAAATCAGCATTTAAGAGCAAATCTACGTATTCATTTAATTATCCCATTATTTGAAAGCCAATAATGAATATGATAAAAAAAAAGAATTGTTCTGAAAGATGTTTCCAATCACTGAAGCTAGAAACATTGGCTCTTCTGTAGTAAGGACCCATAGATGGGATGAAATCTCGGAGATGGCCAGAGACCCTGCAATATGGAAGGCAAGGTGTGAAGGATTTCTTTCTCATGGATCCTCACCTCTGAAACCTCAATAAACAGCTTCTCTTTCACAACATAACTCCTTCTGACTTCAGGGAAGCATCCTGCAACAAAGACTGCACTGACTCCAGGGATACAGTTCTGTCCTTCCACGTCTTTTAAATCGCCAGACAATTCTGCTGATGTCGCGTCTCTTAACTGAAGCTTTCTGTTGCCATGGGCCTTACTGTTGTGATTTTTATTTACTTTATGTCCACCTGGAAAGAGCATTTGGGCATATTCACCTACCTTGCCAACATCTGACTCCGTGCTCATCTGCAGGAAACTTGGGGAAGATTCGCATCGGCGCTGGAAAATTATTTTCAACAGAGAACTGACTTATTAATGACAAGAGACAAAAGGAAAGGAAGACAAAAAGTCAATCCCACATACTGACGGGTTACCATAGTCAGCGGGTCCTGCAGAACTTGGTCAATGACAGCACACAGCTCTTCCGTTTGTTGTCTGAGCTGGGCAGGGGAGCACATCTGAAAAAGGAGGACACATCGCTCAGTGAACCTTTGCTTCTTGTTTTCAAATAGAGATTTGAAAGAGATAAAACAGCACTACCTCTGAATGGGTGTCCAAAGCAGTGCCTTCAGTCACACTAGCAGTCTTGGTTGGCTCTTCTAATGCCTGCAATTCAAAAGATTTTAACGTGATCGTGAGTTCAAAATTGTAAAAACCAAGCAAACCTACACTTTTTTGCAATACTGTGTTTCCAAATGTGGCACTTCTCATTTCACCACGGAAAGATGGAAAAAGAAGAAATTACAGGAATATTAAGGTTCTTCAGGTTACCAACTTCTGATTCAGAATTGGGGGGGAGGGGGACATTGCAGAGAGGGAGAGAGCTAAGGTGAATTGTCTCTACTTTTAGAGATCAGAAACGACCAGTTTAAATAGCCTTCTCCAACAACTCCCCCCTCCTTCACAGCCAATGTAATGCAGTGAACGTGCCCTGTGTGCCACAGGGGTGTCGGGGGGGGCTGCCTGCCGCACACCATCGGAGGAAACCCACCGGCTGTAAGCAGGCAGACAAGGCAGGGTCCAAGCACGCAGGAGGCTCTTTCTTTTCCTCCAGTAGACATTTTCTTTAAAAAGTGTCTCTTGTTTAAAGAGGATGGTGATTCCGCATTGCAATAAAACCAGTGCTTGATGGTTTTGGATTTTAGCCTGAAATCACAGTTGTATAGAGCGAAATATGTGCTATACATATGCGATACCGCACTAAAACATGGCTGGTCTAAGCAGGCATGCAATCTCTCCAAAACGAAACACAAGCTTCTTGTGCTTGGATATACCTCTTGCTTTCCTATGCCCGTACTTGGAGCAGGCTTGAGAACATAGAGAATCAGTTCGCTGATCAATTCACTTTATCAGGAAACTAACAAAACACCCTCAAAAGCCAAACTCCAGTGCTCAGTTCCCTTTTCATCTTCATCCAGAGTCTTCAAGGCACACTCTCACCACCATCACGCATTTCTGCTTTGAAGAGATTTCCAAACAGACTCCATGCCAAGACCAAAAATTACTCTGGAAGCCTGCTGATGCATGAAGCTGGACTATAGGGGAGGGACCTGCAGGGTTTGTGGATTTTTTTGGTTAACACATTATGTTTTTCTGAAGTTTCATTTTGCTAGTTATTTGCAAAAGATAAATGGTAATAAGAGAAAAAAAAGAGCATTGTTGTAAAAGACTTTTTCATGATTGTGGGATTCTGTGGGAACTGACTGATCCCAGTAAGGTGGGTACCAGGGCTGCCAGTCACAGAAGACATATGTGGAGGTGGGGGGGGAAATGGCAGAATCTTTAAAAAAAAGAAAATAAGCATATACTTAAGTAATTATTTCTGAGTTTAATCTTGCTGAGTACAATTTTTTTTTCTCTCCTTGCCCAGCTACTGGAAGCATACATCTATGTATGCAGAACTGAAAAGTAATGTTCTCATCTCCGCTAGCTCATCACTGTTATCCAGCTAAATTCTCAGATCAAAAGACAGTCCTGTAGAAGAGGAGGGGTCAGCTAAAGAGGGCTCAGCACTACACTCGAGTACTGTATCTGCTGTTCAGCTTCAGCTGAGATTACATCCTCCTGGTAAATATAAAATGAAGTGATAAAATTAAGTAGAAGAGTCATTCCAGTACCTACTGGGACCAGGATTGCCAAAGCAGCCTGTTGTAAAGAGATGATGAGTCTGAATGTGAGTTAGGAAAAACAGCAAATTTTAATCAGTCACAAGTTCAGAATGGAGAAATTGCTAAGCTTCTCAAAACCTCCAAGAAATCAGTAGGGTAATGAACATCATAATTGTTAAGAAAAAAACCATATTTCTGTTTCACATTCAATTCACCGGAGCAAGTGGGAGAGGGTGAACACAATCAAGGGTAGGAAACAACTACCCAGAAGATACCGAGGAATCTTTCTTGAGGAACTACAGGCACATCCACAAGTCTCTGTTCAGAACCAAGACTCTGGATAATTTAAGTACCAAACATCCAACAGTTTCAGTGGAAATTGGCATTATATCTTTCCATTTTGGAGCCTTCGTTGACTGAAGAACTCAGGTGAGCACAGCACCAAGGCCCATGCGCTCCACAGTCCCCCTGAGTGTTCTTCTCCCTTTTTAAACCTTTGGGGAAGGAAAATTTTCATGTTCAAAGTGATCCATCTAATTTCTTTCACTGTTGTTTTATCTATCTTCTTTTTTTTTTCTATTTGAACAGCCTGAGTCCTCCAAAGAAAAAGAAGAAACGATAACTAGATTTTAGGCAGCGCTATGACCTCTACAAAGAAAAAAGGTTCCGTTTAATCCATTGTTAGCTTTTCAAAGTACAACTCAAATTTTTTTTCCAGCAGAGCCTTTTTTTCTTTTTACATTTCTACATAGAGAAAAATGTGAGCTTAAAAAAAGTACAACTAGTGTTCCTGAACTCATTACTGGAGTTATCATGCAATAATGTTATGATTAATTTAAAGCATTAGTGCTATCTAGGGTACTGTTGACTAGTGCTGTCAACAGTATTCAAGCTTCATTTCCTATGCTGATGGTCTAACAATATCAAAAGTGGACCTATTTGGGCATTCAAATTTTTTTTATTATATATGAAGAACAATAGTAAGACCACAATTTAAAAGACAAGAACAATTTAGAGAATGCAAATGTATTTGTGACAGAATTTAAATGTTCAGATGAAATAACCAGTTGCTGAACCACTAATTTTTTCCTTGCAAAGGGCAACTTTGAGGGTGTGATGCACATATGCCATTGACGTCAGTGATGACTACAACCCTTCCCTCCTCTTTCCCCCAAGCTATCTGATTGCTAAAGCTGTATCAGAGCTGAAAGGATACTGGTAAATGATCCGAACAGGATCTCCAATATTTTGTTAGAAGAATGAAAGCTTTTGACAACACACAGGAAATATAGAACATAGTTTCATTCACCAATGAACCACATCAATAGAAGGAGAAAAAACAAATATTGTAACCTTCCTTCTTATTGTATTGTGAAAACCCTGGGCTGAGCAAAAGCCAAGAAGTTTCCTCTTCTTTTATTTCTCCTGCATATTTTTCCCATCAATATCTTTTCCTACGCCCTCAGCAAATGCAAAAAAATCCCTTCACATACCATGAGTTCCTTTAACTTATTCCTTGAAGATCCTGGGAGATGATACTAAAAAGACCTGACTACTTTTCCTTTTATAAAATAATTGATAAAGCTCCACGGCCTTTGAAAGAAAGAGGGACCTCATAGCCTGCTTTTACACTTGCAGCTTGGTTATTATTACAGATGAACTAGGTCCTTTATCACTCTACGAATGCACAAATTACTTCCTTTCTTTCTTACCCCTAGGTATTTATCCCTAGCCTTAAGAAACATTTTGACATGAACACGTAATCTGGATGCAAGAAATTCACTGAGTGCACACCAGAAATACTTGGGGAAAACTAAAATCTTTTTTTATCAAAATGTTCTCAACAAAGTGTTGTCAGAAGTGCTTTCCAGGTCCAGAAAGGTCCTGACATACTTGATAATACTCAACTGTCCAGCAGTTAGGTCTATCATCTGAAAGGGGGAAAAAATGGCTTCCAAGTTCCTGCTGTATGACTTCAAAGAGCAACCTGAATCTGCATTTGCCATGATCGGCCCCTATACCAATGGATGTTTGATAATACAATAGGTAAGAGTTCTGTCAAGGCAAGAACTTAAAGCTGGGTCTCCAGTGTAGCAGATCACTACCATATTTCCTCAGCTGCATTTCTTTCTTTTCACCAAAAAAAACCCTTACCCTCTTTTTCCTTCTGCATGAGGAGGCAAATGTTTTGTTTTGTTTATTTTTTCTTTTTTTCCTGCACAAGGAGAATACATTGCACTGCTGGCAGTCTGCTGGGTAGGTGATGGGATGCAAGCATGCAATTACTAAGTCTTTGGAGTTTTCCTAGAAGTGTAACATCATATGGTAAGACTGTTTTAGACTCTCTTGAAGCTAGCTAAATTGCATTGTGACAAGAGAAAATAGGAACAGCCATAAACAGACAAAATCAATAACCTAAAGTATTTGTTCTTTAAGACAGAAGATTTTTTTTCTACATTTATTTAAAATTGAAATTATAGTTCTCTACTTCTAATTAATTGATAAATACAAGCCAGATAAGTCAACAGTGCTTTCATTTGCACCTCCTCCATCCACAGCCAGTTATACCTAGTGCTTTCCAGAAGACGTGGTAAGTGTGGGATAAGCCTCGACTGGAAGCAGGTGTGCTTCATGGCACACCCCATCATCCTGGTTTCACCGCAGTTCAAAGTGGGGGAAATCTGAGCAGAACATTTGTAGTGCCTCTCCCCCTCAAGTCTGCACGCCCAGGTTTCCTTCCCATCGAAATGATGCCCAGATAAGAGAAGTTCACCCCAATCAGCCTGCAGAGGGGGGGTGTATCTGGACAGACACAGCAAACACAAATTCCCCTGCATAGACCTAGCTGTAGACCAACGACCACTGAATTGTTAAGAGAAGGCTTTTTTGGTTTGCAATTCCAAGGCATCCAACAGTTTTGAAGTTACATCGCAAATCTGACATAATTCTGAAGATGAAGTAGGATCTGGTTCAAGAGACTGTCTACTTAAAGTTAAGAATTTTTCTGTAGCTCCCTGAAATAAACCTTTCATGACTATCTATTTTGACTGAAAGACATTTTTATAGATATTTGATAAATACAATCTCTAAATAATAGATGTATTACTTTTTAAATACTACCTGATTAGGAATGGAATTTTGAATTAGACTGTGATCACATCTATATAACTGTAGAAGGTATACAAAAGTGAGTGTCAGTAGAGGGGTGACTCACTAACTCAAGGTTAGTAAGACCAGAAGGAACCACAGTGATCACCTAGCCTGACCTTTTCTTTAAACCACAGAACTCTCTGGAATTACTGTATGAAGTGCCAGAAAAGTGTCCTGTCTTGATTTTTCAATTTCTGTGATAAAGAGCCCATTTCAGTCTCCAGAATTTTTTTCTAATGGTTACTTAATTCTTCCTGTTAAACTTTTGCCTTATGCCTACATTAAACTTGTCCAACTTCCTCTTCTAGCCCCTGGATCATACCATCTGATGGGCTGACGAGTTCATTATCGGTGGACCTCCTTTATTGCTCTGAATTGTGTGGCTTTTATGGCACTGCTGACTGACCATGGTTACCACCACCTCATTATCCCCATCTCTGCTCTCCTTGCCCAGGCACTGGGGAGCTGTGCCCTTGCTGGTGAGGACACCGTCTTGCCAGCCTTGCTGTCACACCAGTTCCTGGTTCACCTTCCCTGGCAGAGCCTGACCATGCTGAGGAAAAGTCCCTTAAAAACAAGTTTTTGCTCTTCTGGCTCTGTAGGAAGTTACAGCCCAATCTTCCAAGAGATAGCCTGGATTTTTCTGAGCAGAGCACAGGTGATGCGAGGAACATCAGGTTCATACAAACTCCAACAGCTGGAAAGCATGCCAGTTATGAGATTTGATATTAAGTCACTTCTGGGGTTGCCAAAGTATACATATATATAGTCAATAAGCCTTTTCTTCTCTGCTAATGAGCACAGATTTGAACAACTCGCATTGAGTAAGAGTACTGGAGGATAAGAAGATGTTCTAGAAAAACCATTAAGATGGTGATAGCCTAATGGCTTCATAAGAAGTTGAAAAATGCTGGCTGAAATTAAAGCATCTACACACACATAAAAGAAAAAAATTGAATTGAGAAAGGAAGTTAGACACAAGGAGACAATTTAGAGGCAGACAAAGCATTGTACCTTACATGACATATCAAAGACAGTTTTCTCTCATGGGATCTAATTAATACTGCACATGAATTGTCACTAGGATCACCCACATGTCAGTTCTGACTAATCTTATTTCTCATGACTACTCAAATTAAGTAATATAATTACTCACACAGTAGAAAAAGTTGACTTCTGAGAATGTGAGTTTCTAGTTCAATCACATAGCAAAACACTTTTTTAGCACTTTAGGCAGATGATGTATTCATAATCATGCATTCAGCTCTGTAATATTTATGCCTTGCAGATATTACAAGCCTTCCTTCCTTGCTAAAAGAAGAAAAAAGCCACTCGAAAACTTCTTTTCCACATAACCTTTATCTTAATCTTAATAAAACATCACTTATGTAGTTAAAATCTCATTGTCTTCAATCTCTTTTTAATCTAGGGTATAAAATACATTCCATAAAATGGGAGCAACATAATTACTGTCATTGAGCTACAACGTGTCATGAGTTCCTTCCCAGTTCCCTCCCCGATATTTTTGAGGGGAATACTTGGATATTAGGGCTCGGTACAATGGGGCCTGCATGTGCCACGTCACTCCTTCATGCTTCTTTAAGAGCCATACTCCAAATGCACGTCAGCTAACACAACAGGACTAGCTTAGGAGCACTGTAATTAGCTGCTGGTATGGATCAATAGCAGATTATTGTCCATAATTCCCAAAATGAGAGAAATCGTGTAGTCAGGCCATACTGAAACATAAAATTTACAAAGTAAATTAGTCAAGAACCTCTCCTGAAGGCAAATCCTGTAGCAGAAAATGGATTTCTTATTAGTTTTACATGACTGTGCTTTTGCTACTGAAGGATACACCAAAGATAATGTTTTCAATAAAGCGGTGGGAATCCAAACGTCTCTATCTAAATACAGGTATCTTCTGAATCATTACTTTTTCTACAGATACTAGCATTAGATTGTACAATTCAGTCTTATGTATTGGGGATAAGTAGCACACAGCTTGTGAGTCAATGCCCCGGAGAACATCAGCAAGACCATCAGAAGGAATCCCTTTCTTCGGAAGAAGCGCAGTCAGATGGCTGACATTAACCCACTAGTTCACATCAGGAGTGTGCTCTCAAAGTGAATACCCTGCTCAAAGTCCCATACCTGACTTGGTTTGCAGAGTAGTGCAGTCTCAGAGTGCACAAACTGGATGCCTTTTAGGTTAAGTCAACCCTGAAGTAGCATTTCAGGAATACACCAAATGCTTCCAGTCACTAACGGGCACTCTGCCCAAACAAAACCCTTCCAAAATACATTCCGCAGGGGTGTAGGATCCCCTGCATCAGCTATTTTCCTCTACAGAGCCATTTCTATTGGACCACATTGCATGCTAACGCAGACGTAGCCTTCGTTAGCACATTCAAGATTTAAGGAAGGGAAGGATCAGGTTTTATGCAAATAATTAAAAAATCATTCAAGATTAAAAGAACACTGGAAAAGAAAGGATGTCCCTTTTTTAAAAAAAACAAAAACAAAACCAAAAAAACCCCAAACTTAGTTATAGCAGTTAACTGATAACTACTAGGTCACAATCAGTAATATTTCATGGACAAAATTATCATATTCAAAATTTTTACATGGTTAAGTTCACCCTCTCCAGTGTCTTTAGGCTCTGTAAACTCCTAGTGAAATCAGCTGAGCTGTGTATGTGAATACATATTTAAATGTGCAGTTAGGAATCCTTAATCTTACGGAAATTAATCAGAGGTTAAGTTCCTGAACTAGGTCCACAGATTTTTCTGATAAAGCTATAAACTGGATGTCAGAGTGATTAAGCATGCCTTTAAACATATAAGACACTTAGCTCATTGCTCATCATAAGAAATTTTTGTTAAACTTAGTGGGCTATTCTTTTGTGCAAAACTAATTTGGGAAAAAAACTTTAAAAAATAGACATTGGTGGGTACTTTGAACCCTCCAATGCAAAATTTACATTTTCAATTGACTTCCAAAGATGAATTATCTAAATAAGTACTATAAAACCCAGTCCTTGTTGGTTGTGTCCTTGGTAGTAAATAAATGCACTAGAGACTGTTCTTTGGCTCTATCATCCTGCCCTACAGAAAAAGATTGTTACCACAAGCTATGTACTGGGAACAGCCCCCTGGCCCATGCTAACTGTTGAAGTGCTCAGGGAAGTTGTTTGGGAGGAGGCCAGTGCGATGGCCAGGACTGTTCTCACAGTTTAACAATACAGCTGGTCAAATTTGCCTATCTTGGGATGTTAAATTTACTAGTATAAGCATAGCCATTGAATAATCATTAATTGACCAAGACCTACTGATTGGTAGGTCCCAGAATAGCAGTGCTCCAGACACTTTCCAATAACAAAACAGACTTTGAGATGTTGCCATAAATGGCAATTCCTTCAGGACACTTTTTTTCTTACAGTGAATTTATTTGCAGAAATTCAGATTTCTGAAGGCTTTGATCTTCAGTGGAAAGTGGTTGACCCTGAAAAATAGTTGGAATTATAATCCTGAGCAGTTAGTTCCAGAGCTTACATTCTGCAATATCACCCACAGAAATGTCAGAATACGTACATAAAGTCGAATGGTCTTAAATATACAGTGCAATTACCATGTCTTTGAGCAAACACTAACCTTCTGTTCCATAAGTAATGTGTTTGTAGGGATTGCTGCAAATGCCTTGTAGCTTGTCTTGATCTTGTACTGCTAAAAGGGTAAACCAGAAAGCAGGAAGAGACGTAAAACAGGGTAGAAGGAGAAGGAGAGAGAGGGAAGAGAGGGGAAAGGTACGACAGAATGAAAGACGATTCCAATTGTCTTGCAGACACGTTGCAACAATATAATGCTTACGTATTACCTAGGAAAGCTATTTCTTAAAGAAAATCTAGTGTTTCTGTTAAGATTTTAAAGGATTGTAACCTACATCTTTTGCTTTTAGGAATGAAGGAGGACGAAGTGAATTCCCTGTAACAGCTTGCAACTTCCAAAGTGATTTTGACCACTTTCTGCTGACTACTATCCTTAAATGAGTATCAGGAGAGGCTGTGAGTTTTTTCCAAGTTTGCTTGTGATTTGATATGATAATGCACAGCTACTTCTGCCAGTACATGTACCTCAACAACTGCTGCTGTGGGGTGTGATCCTGGACCTCTAGGTAAGAGGGATTTCTGTGATTGCTTTAATGAGACTGATTAGGATCCTTAAATGCTGAATTACTTGTGTGAGTGGATAGATCATTTAAGTCATGTCACAGCTTGTCATCTCCTGAATAAGTAACTCTACCACCCAAGCAAATACTTCAAAACAAGTATAGGAACTTTCACACTCTAACGAAGTATACAGAACTGACAAATCTAAACCAGAGAAAACGCATGGGTTTGGGTACAAAAATTCTAAGATCAGCCTTAAAAATTATTCTTTTGAAATGATTTCTATTTTAGACTATATTAGCTTGCCCAGTTATTTTTAACTCTTTAGAAACCATTCTTACTATATTTTCTTGGCAATTATGGAGGTTGAATTCGGTAATTTTTAAATCATTGATGAGATTCTTCTACACTTACATGAGTTCAAGAGCTAGGGCTCTTAATCACATGACTGCTAGAATTTATCTTTTTTAACAATTAAGTAGGGATTTGCTGCATTGTTCCCTTTTCAGCAACATTCTAATAAATAATCACAAATTCACACAATAGACTTTTAAGTTATTCATTGATTATTTCTGTGATAATCATCCAGAAATAAAGTTACTTGTTAATCAGTTGAGGTGTTTTAATGTACCATCGTCTATAGCAGTGAATACTGGTGATTATGAGATAAGGGGCTGAGCAGCATGCTGTACTTTCGGTCATTCTTTTGTCACTTTCTTCTTTTCTTTATATCTAATAAAAGTCTCGATAACAGCAGAGGGGCCAAAATTTTAATTCAGATAAGAGAAACTTATATCATCTTCAGTCCTCTCTTGCAATATTGTAGGACACTAGCTTTTAATCCTTTCTATACAGAGTATTATGTTTGCTTTCTACTTTACTCATATTTCTTAGTCAGAAGTTGGACAGTGACAGCCATTCAAGAAGTAAATAATCACAATAATCATATTGAATGGACTGTCTGACAAAGCAGATGAACGCAAATGCTGGAACTGCACTTCTTTTTCTTTTTTTTGGGGGGTGGGGGTGGGTAGTAGTTCATATGAGATTTAGTGATTCTAACTTGGATGTCTACCATGTAGGTGCTTCAGTCAAAACTAATGCCTTTTATAGTGATAAGCGTTTCTACAGGATAATTCATCTCATCCCAAAACAGGCACCTAGAAAGGTAAAATAAAATCATCCTGTAAATGCACCCTATTCCCTCCATTAGCTATAATACAATTGCCCAAGTTGTGCTTGGATATCTAACAGTCAAATGTCAAAAGTCACGTGAGTTGAATCCTGCCCTTTGAACATTCAGACAGCAACACTTTGCTATAAATGTGTGTGGTTTCATATATATATTTATGTATATACAAAATCTATATGCAGATAAGACATAAAACACTGCTCACTGAAGTAAGATGGAAGACCAAAACTCCAAATATTAAAATTGCCATATCCACAAAATGTATCTTTGTTTGCTTATAATTGATATTCAATCAAGAAAATTATATAATTGAATATGTAAATGAAATGCAGTATCTTCACTAGCCTGTAGGCTTTTTATCTGATGAGTTGGGTATCATATACAATGGGAATACTGTGACCACTTTGAAGTTAGTTGTACTGTTACATGACCTAAACAAAGACATATCAGACTGTTAAAATGCAAAAGTTTCATCGCTTCCAGATACTGTAGAACCTGTGAGAAATGTGCTGTTGTCACAGTGTCTGAGTGGAAAGTCTTTAATTCAGTTTCTCATCAATATGAATATGTTTCTGGACACATTAGTTCACATTACTTAAAATTATTATTCAATGCCTAAATACATTTAGTATTCTGGTTCATAGAAATCTAGCAGTTATTTTTAAACTGCCGTGGACAGTTAGGTCTTCTAGCCTGCACCATGGTACGCTCAAAAGCAAACCAACTCCAATATCAAAGCTCAGGCAAATATCAGCCTGGGAAGTTTGGGGGGAAATGTCCTACTTTTCTTGCTGAAATGAACACCTATGGTACCAACAGGGCATTGCAAAGTGTGCTAGACACATACCTATAGAGGCTTAAAATCAGCGACTAACCATGGCAGTGCAGAGCTCCTCATGAGTAATCTTTCCTGCTTTGTGGTAGATTTTTGCAGCTGTGCTGAGCTCAGTGTTGCTACAGTTACTTTTTTTCCCTGGCTGTTTTGGGTAGATCTACACTCATTCCCGTGCTACATTTAAATAGGAAAAATCAAAGAATATGTAGGAATGATACCTCATGAAACCACTGCAAAGGGTTTTTAAACAACAGCCAGAAATTTTTGTTCTAATCTGCTCCTGCAGAATCAGCAATTTTACCTGTCTCCACTCCATCCTACTGTTCATTTTGCTATATCAGGTCCATGAGGACACTATTAAAGTGTCTGCAAAGCCCAGGGAGAGGGGTTTTATTTCCTGTGTTCACCCACAGTTCACACTTCACACTGATCTGTGGATTTAGGTTTATATTCACTTTGCAAAACAGCCATATTTTTAAATCATTGGCAAACATAAAGATAAATAAATATATAAAGCATGGGAAAGCACATGTGTTTATATGTATAAATGCAAACAGTTAAATAAGTTCATAGGTTATTCTTTGATTTGCATGAATTGGTGCATGCATATGCATAGACATAGAAAAGCTCTCCATTAAAGAATCCTTTTTGCATAATTGCTTTGATATCATGCTAATGAAAAATACTGAAAAGTACATCTAATGTCAAAATTCTGGTTTTATAGCTGTTGGTTTAATACATGTCTTAACGTTGTTTCAACTGCTGTTGAAGCAACGTTAAGGTTGCAAAATTACACATGCCAAAGTCAAGCACTTCTAGACACTGTGCTTTTCCCTTGATATTCACTTAGCACATTCATACATGCAAAAATTTTGTCATGCATCAACAGTCATCAGATGGAGCAACCTGCTTTTTGTCTAGTTCTAAAGTTGAGCTGATTGGCACTAAAGAGACCTAGATGCTGCTTAGGACACTAATGTGGTCTCTCCTCAATCTTTTCCTTTTTTCTGTGGAAATAAACTGAGATCTGAGGTTGGAGTGTTACCAGAGAGCCTGGTACCATTAACACAGCAAGCAAGTTCATTGAGCTATGCCTTAAACTAGGTATGGAAATAAATGAGAGCGGGAGGAAAGGAGGATGTCGAATACACACTAGTATCAACTATGAATGAAGTCTCAGCCTCACATTTCAAAGCCACAAGAGACCTTTCCTGCACTGAACACTGAGCTGCATTCGATTTAGAGATTTCAGATCTTCCACATCGCCAGTGGAGCCAGCGTTGGCTCCGTGGTTAAAAATTGCACCAGAGTAACAGCCCAAGTCTCTTAAACTGGTGTATACTCTCCCAGCCTCCATGGGGTGGTGGGGCAGTTTCAAAAGTGCCACCATATCACATGATAAAGCAGAATTAGCAGCAAAAGGGACAGTAGGAAAGACAGAAAGGGTGTAATAACCCCTGCAAATATAAACACAGGCAAAATCTCTGTGTCACAAGCAGAGAATTTCTTTCCTGCCAGAGTCTCTCACAGTGCTCATTGCACTGACTAGCAGAAACCACAACTGCTTTGCAATCTGCAGGCTCAGTCATGCATTCCAGTTTTGTCTTGGGGGCTTCTCTCTTGGAATTTCTACAGTTTCATTTCTCTTTTTGTTTCCTTGGTACCGACAGGGGGTAGTGACACTGTACAGCTGTGCTTGGCACAATGGTTCCCCTCGGTCGTTTGTTTTTTTTAAAAGAACCATTCATGACAATTGCTACTTTGTGCTGATTTAAACCTCTCATTTTCAATTAACATTTTCCAAGCAGTTCAAGTCACCCCTGCCATGGCCAAGCTGTTAGGAACACATTTGACACAATTTGATTTGGCAGACCAGGCTGTAATTTTGTGCTGTGAACAAATAAATCGATAAACTCTGATAGCCTTTCGGTGATAGGCAAAGCTCAGGTATCAGCAAGAGGAGGCACAAAGGAAGCACAGTGTGCAGAGATGAAAGAGGTTGGAAAGCTTTCTGCAGCTCTGATGTCTTCTGCCACCAGCTCTTCCTTTTTGCATAGCAGTTCCTTTTGTTTTCACCTACCTGCTGTGTGTTTTCTGATCAGCTTTCCTTTCCTTCCCCTTCCCATCCTTGAGATTTATCTTTAGGTTTAAAGTGTGACTGGTTCCCAAGCCCTCCTGCAGCAGTCACCAGCATTGCTTATTCTCGCTCTGCTGGGGCTCCCCCACCTGCGCCTGGATGATGAACAGCGGGAACGTGGCTGATCCCTCGAGTGTGAGACTTTCATATTTGCAGTAGTTCGTGTTGTAGGAAGCTTGGCTTTTTTTTTTTTCCCCCTCATCCTCTGTCTAGCACAAGATCAGAGAAGTACCAAAGAAAGGGAAGAAGCAGAAGACTGTCCTTGTCTTCCCTCTCTGGCTCTTGACCCCAAAGTCCCTACTGAGGCCGAGCTCAGCTGTGCCCCTGGGCTGGTCCCAGACTGGCCGGGCAGAGTCCAACCTCCTGGGGAGTGGGGAGGACAAGTGGGACGAG